ATAAGGAAATTGATTGGTCCATTTCCTTATGCATTTGCTTATGCTTATATATAGACCAATCAATTTCCTTATGCTTATGCGTTATGCTTTATGTAAAAGCTTGTGCTCTCGGCTTAAGACTAAGATTAAGATTAAGACCGAAGCATAAACCAGCCATATGGCTGCGTTCCGTAAAGCACATATGCGCGCATGTATCTATAGTATACGTAACGTATACTGTAGTATACGTATAGATATTAGTATAGATCATAAGGTTTGTTTTTTATTCCTGCACTGGCTGCACTAGTTCAAAAAGTGTACACTGAAGCGTTCTTTATTGCAGAACTGGTGTTACCGACGCTGTTCGTTATTGCAGTGTAGCAGAACTTAGTGCAAGAGTTTACGGAACTGGCTGCTCTAGGTCTGGAGCTAGTGCAAGCAGTACAGGACAGCAGTGCAACCGGGAATTTGAAAATAAACGTGGAAAAGGTTAAATTGTTAAGTATATAAAAATTAGAGCTATTAATTCAAACAACGGATGTAATAATTGTAATTCATTATGTTCTAAAAAGTTATTTAATAAATAAATAGGTTATGTTGTACGTATATTACAATATTATTAATAATACTAAGTCTGAATATAATAATATTTCTTACCATCATTATCTTCAATTAATGGCGCTTGTAATAGTGGAATTGCTATTAATAAATCATTTTCATCAAATGAATCTAACATTTCCATAGGTACCACGTAATGCGCCATAATGCTTTTGCACTGTAGCGTTCTTTATTCCTGCTTGTACTCTCAGTCCTCGCTCGCACTACTCGGTTCAGTTCACTGCACTAGTTCAACTCAGTGCAGGAATAAAAAACAAACTTTTGGTCACATACAGCCCGTAATCCGTAATCCTCACCGAAAGTCCACAAAAGTTACTAGGTATTTCGTCCGTAACGTTACGTGTGTTTTTATCTCCTTGTGTTCCATGGAGCCGTAAATACAGACGTAACGGTAATACTATTTTTTATTTAACAGATTATAATTGTTTATTTGTATTTTATTCATAAGAAAACTACAGAACATATTATGATTTTAACAAAAGTTTTAATTAAATTGTCAAATTTAGTTAAATAAATAAAATTAGAAAAAACATTACTAGTAATAACTAGTAACTTGTAGTAACTTTTACGGAAATTTTATGGAATTACGGCTCCATGGGACACAAGGGCTGTGTTCCAAAATTCACTGCCAGTACTGAAAATCTATAATTTACGTTACGTATATTGTAGATTTTCAGTACTGGCAGTGAATTTCGGAACGCAGCCTAGAAGATAAAAACACACGTAACGTTACGGATGAAATTCCTAGTAACTTTTGCGGATTTCCGGTGCGGATTACGGATTACGGGCTGTATGTGACGGCACTTTTAATCGAGTTATGAAACATGTTCTGTCAAAGAATTTCTGTTCAAAGTGAACAGAGCAAATACGAGCTGTACTTGGGATAGATGATGAACTTATTTCCAAAATATCTAACCACAATGTACGAGCTTTAGGATCTTTGAGAAAAACTAAGAAAAAAAACAATATTTTTAACAACTTATACTCTTAAAATAAAATATATAATATTACTTTAAACATGTAATATTAACTTTAATATGAATAAATAATTTCAATACCTGTAAAATGTTATTTTAAAATTATTTCCGCTATTACTTTGTTTCCAATTTTGATAGTTGGATTTATTTTTAAGCCTTGTGTCCACGATGCTAGAACTCAATCCGAGATCTCGGTCCGAGTCCTCGAACAATAATATTTATACTTGGCTGAATATAGTTAGCGTTGTAATCGAGTTACGATTCTTTACGATGATTTTCTGATCTATGTTATATTGGTTTATAGATATCATCAAGTGATGCACCGCTTGATTTCGAATGTTTATTTTATTTAGATGGTCCAGATATTGTGATCTTAAATTATTAATTTTTTTTTGCAATTTCAGTTGTTAGTGGTTGTCTTGTTAATTCTTTGTACTGATTACAGATTATCTGTAAAGCTTGATCTCGTTTCATACGATTATGATAATCAACACTTTTTGTAACATATAAACAAGAATGTTGTTAATATAACATTAATAAAATTTTAACATTTTCTTTGTTATCCATTTTTTATTATAAAAGAAGTTTTTTCTGAAAATCAATTTTATATATTATTATACTTTTCTTGAAAAATAATATGTATGTATAGGTTATAATATATTTTTAATGTCTAATTTAATCTGTATTAAAACTAATAATAACTACTTATGTAAATCTTATTAATTATTAATCTTATTAATTTATTTTATTTAAGAATTATATTTCTCTTATTTTTTCAATTCTATGGGCTTGTTCGTTTTAGCTGCACTGGGGCAGCTCTGGGTCTGCTCTAAATAAGATAATACAGGACAAACTATTTATCTGTCCTGTATTATCCTGTGTAGAGCAGACCCAGAGCAGCCCCAGTGTAGCTAAAACGAACAAGCCCTATAATTACTTACTAAAATATTATTTATATTGTTCACAGTATCTCGTATCACTATAAGTATCTTATATTTTGTCTTGACAGATAGTAAAAGAAACTAGTAAAATCTAATAACTCGCAATAACTCGTACCGAAAAATGGGACGCAGCGCATTTTTTCGTTTGAGCTTCTTATTCGAGTTTTGCATCCAAATGCAGTGTGTACATGATCCGAGTTCTAGTAACTTTCCCTCAGTCCGAGATCTCGGACCGAGTTCTAGTATCGTGGACACAAGGCTTTAGTCCGTGGAACAAACCTAATGTGTAGACGGGGCATAGCAAAAGTTTCGATAAGAATATCGATATATCGGATTTTAAAATATCGATACTGTATTGCCCATTCCTACTCTACGCATTGCCAATCTAGTGACTTTTCCAGGAACGATAGCGCCGCTGTGTATATCGTCTAAAATCGCGGGAAACGCGTCCCGCTTCAGGAGCTCCGCGAGGTTTGTCCATGATTCGTTATTATCTCAATTATTGAGGTGGTTGTGTGAGCAAAAATTAGGCTTGTGTAAAGGTTTTCGCGGTGTGAAAGCCGACGTTTGCTCTCCGGACTAGATAAACACGATCCTTCGCAAGAAAGAGAGTAACCCTTGAGACACGGGATTTGTTGACTAGTGCCAGCGGTAATGGAAATTGTTTTCCACGTGTAAGTCTTTGCCGCTGGCATTTCATGACTTTCGTGAGCAGCCATCGTTGAGGAAATTAACGCATTTTAGTGATTTGTAACATTCAGTGTGTAAATATCAGAAAATGCAACACTGATTTCTAAGTTATGAATACTGTGAGCATAGAAGCCAACAAGGTATTCATATCAGCATGTGTATCTCAAATTGAATACTTTGCTTCTTTTATTGTAACTAATATCTATTATATAATATAATGTTGCATTATATGACTTTACAGAATTCAAAAATATCGAAGACTCAAGAGGAGTTTGTCGATGAAAATAATATATCTGAAAAGATGGATAAAGTCAGTTGTTCTTCTACTGCTTCTAATAACGTAGAAGAAATTTTGTCTCCTAAGATAAACCATTCAAGTAATCACAATACTGAATGCCATTGGGTAATAGGACAGTTAGCATGGGCCAGGGTTGGCAATTTCCCATTTTGGCCTTGTATTGTGACACTTGATCCAGTCTCAATGATATATCACAAGCTTAAAGGTGAATGTTTCTAAAAGTTTTATCTATCTTCATCTAAATTTTAACTTTTTCTTTTTTAATTTGTTTGAGAATATAGATTATTCTGAAAGTTCTAAATTATGTTTTTGTTAAATATTTCCATGTGTATATAAAAAATATATATATGTAGTTTCAAACTGTTAAAAAATTTTTTATTATTTTTCAACAGTTATGAGCAAATCAACTATCTTGTTGGTACATGTTCAGTACTTTGGAGACAATGAACGTCATAGCTGGGTTTCATCAAATTCTATGATATCATTTACAAATCTTGATGACTTTGTAAAACTACCAGAATCACTAACAGCAGAACAAAAAAAGCAAAATGCTAAATACATTAGGGCTTTTGTTATAAAGCAGGGAACAAAGGCAAAATGGGATAAAGCAGTTGAAGAAGCAATGGAAGTACAGTCAATGACAATTGAAGAAAGAGCTGAAGCTTTTGCACCAAAAAAGAAAGTTTCAAAGTCTAAAGTAACTTTAAAGTCATCTTCTAATGATCAAAAAAATAAAAACAAGAGAAAAAATTCGACTGATCAAGATAGACCTGATACTAAGCGCACTAAATATGATAATGTAATATTAAAAGAGCTACATTTAATATAAATATAATTTTGTGCTATTGAATGTAAAACTGTTGAAAGTAATACTTTTTACTTTTACAGATATATAATGCAGGAAAATTGGATACGCCAAAATCAAAAAATTTGCGGACTTCTAACGATAAAGCTGCTTTAAAACTAAATTTAGATTCTTTACCTTCATCTCCTTCAAGTTCTAAAAGTTCTCATGAAAGTACAAATACAAAAATTGATAAAGGTGAAGAAGATCTAGAAGGTTTATTTGAAATCTATTATTTAAGAAATAGAGATTTTCTGGAGGAAGAATATCCAGATGCATCAGAGCAAGAAATAAAAAAATATTTGCGAAAAACTTGGAATGACATGGATAAAAGTTATCGAAAGAAATATCGATCGTATATGACCAATGATGGTAATTTACCTTCAAAGGAAAGTTCTCCAAATCGTGAAGAAATATTTGCTGATATTGAAATGAGTATTAAGGAAAATAAAAAAACAAAAAATAAGATTGACAAAGAAGAAAGTTCTGTTTCAGAGATGAAACGAGGTAGGCCATACAATCTCTTTAAAGGTTTGAAGCAAGAGAAAGTTTGTCAGATTTGCGAGAAGGCAGGCAAGTTAACGAGATGTAAAGGACCTTGTTATTCTTATTTTCATTTATCCTGTGTGAAACCTGGCGAATCTAGTCCAGAACACTCTGCTGATGAGAACACATCAGATGATAAAATACTTGACGATTTAAATATAATTAAAAAAAGTATTAATAGTGAAAATAAAAATGGTAACTATGATATTCATACATATTACAATTTATATATATATATATATTTCACATTCTTAACTTATCTTTAAATTTAATGCTGCATATTAAAGTGAATAAAAAATTGATTTTTTTCTCAATAAATGATTTTTATATTAATATAATATAAAAATAAACAAATTTTGTTTTGTATAAATTTGTTTATACATGTAACATATTACAATATTAATTGTAATATTAATTTTGAATCTAGATAAATCCGAGGAACAAGAAGACGAAACATTTAAATGTATTGACTGCTTATCTGGAGTAGCACCTGCTTGTTTTATATGCAACGAAAGAGAAGGAGATAGAATAAGATGTATTGTGCCAGCTTGTGGAAAGCATTATCATTCCAAGTGTTTGAATTCGTGGCCTCAGGTAAAATTTTTCATTTACGTTCTACATTTTACCATGCTAAAATATCCAACAATAAGCCTTTTAATAATAAATAAATATTTGTTTTTTATATTTAGTCACATTGGCAAGGTGGACGTTTGACGTGTCCGTATCATGTATGTCACACATGTAGTTCCGATAATCCTCAAGACAATCACTCGCGCGCTCCTAACGAGAAAATGGCAAGATGCGTCCGTTGTCCTTCATCTTATCACGCGTCCATCAAGTGTCTTCCTGCCGGCTCGACAATTTTGACGGCCAGTCAAATCGTATGTCCTAAGCATTACAAAGCGCCAAATCCTCCATCAAATGCGGCATGGTGTTTCTTGTGTTCACGAGGCGGCAGCTTGATTTGTTGCGACACGTGTCCGACTTCATTTCATTTGGAATGTCTCGGTAACTTTTCATTAAAATTTACAGACTTATTCAGTTGATACATAAAGTATATAATATGTGTAATAAGTTATTTTTGTATTATTATATAGGCATAGATGCACCTGACGGTGGATTTATTTGTGAAGATTGCGAAACAGGAAGATTACCCTTGTACGGAGAAGTTGTGTGGGTGAAATTCGGCCATTATCGATGGTGGCCGTCTCGTATATGTTATCCGCAAGAAATACCTGAAAAAGTAGATGCTTTATCTCATAGCCCTGGTAAATTTTGCGTAATGTTTTTGGGATCTCATAATTATTATTGGGTGCATAGGTAAATAAAATATTTTCTTTTATGCAAAAAAATATATAGTATTGATTTAATAAATATCAATTTAAAAAATTTTTAATTTGATCTTTCTAGAGGTCGAGCTTTTTTGTATCAAGATGGCGACGCAAATTTTAAACCACCTATAGGTAAAAAGAATGGTATGGATGACAGATTTCGAGCAGCCCTGCTAGAAGCAAATAGATTGCATCAACAATTAAAATCGCAGCGATCCGTGACTAAGGAACCAAAAGGATTGAAACCACCACCATATGTAAAATTAAAAGTATGGTTTATACTATATCATATTACTTTCAGTATTTTATCATTGTTTATTTAATAATTTTTAACTGAACAGATTTTGATTGATTCGAGAACAATGTTAATCGCTATTTTATTATAAATTCAAGTCTTATTCGCAGAGATAATGATGTCTTTAATCGCCTAATTTCTAATCGATCAAAATCCATTCAGTTAACATAAAATTAAGAGTTGATCAAGCGATTAATTAAGATTAAAATTAAGCGGTAAGATTGACTCTTACCACTACTTCATTGTTGCAATCATATCAAATTTTTTACAAAAAAATAATATTAATTTATATGCAATTTGATAAGCATGTAACATGAAATTAGAGACCTTAATAGAAATAGGTATATAACAGGTCAATAAACCAGTGGGTAACGTGAAGCCAGCCGAAGTCGAGAGCATTGTGGCGTGCGAATGCAATCCTGATTTGGATAATCCATGCGCACCTGGAACAGATTGCTTGAATCGTATATTGTTGGTCGAGTGCAGTCCGGGAATCTGTCCGGCTGGGCCCAAATGTATGAATCAATCGTTTGTGTTGCGACAATATCCAGCGATGGAGCCATTTCACACGGTGGGTCGCGGCTGGGGTTTACGAACTTTGGAGGACATTCAAGCCGGACAATTCGTCATTGAGTATGTGGGAGAAGTTATAGACGAGGCTGAGTATAGGTGTAGATTGTATCGAAAAAAGGAACTAAAAAATGAAAATTTTTACTTCTTGACAATCGATAATAATAGAACAATCGACGCGGAACCGAAAGGAAATCTAAGCCGATTTATGAGTAAGTATACTGCGCTTTCTGCAATATCCGTAAATCCATAAATTTGGAAGTATCATTTTTTGTTTGTAGATCATTCATGCGCCCCGAACTGTGAAACGCAGAAATGGACAGTAAATGGCGATACGCGTATCGGTTTATTTGCTTTGCGTGACATAGAATCAAGTGAAGAGCTGACGTTTAATTATAATTTAGCGTCAGATGGAGAAACGCATAAACAATGTCTTTGCGGTGCACCGAATTGTAGTGGTTTTATTGGTCTAAAAGTACAGAAACAACAACCAAAGAAAGATGATAAGCCTAAACGAAGGTATGTTATAGGACGTTTTTAAATTTAGTGATCAAACTATGCTAATATGTTATATGAGTAAAAATAAAATTCTATGAATAAAAAATATTCAAAATAGGTAGGTTTTGAAATGTTTTATTAAAAAGTTATAATAAAAAAAAGAAGAAAGAAAATATTTCATAATTTTCCATTTTCCATTTTTATATCGCTCTTGTCAAGTTTAATTATTTGACATAGATTGAATTTAGCACTTCACGAATTTCATGCTGATTATCTTGCTTAGTTTCAGTGAATACATTGATCTGTTTATCAATTCTTTTCAAATTTTGATCGTTTTTTAATATATTTTTGTTTAGACTGTTTTCCACTCTCTAGATAAAAATCTAACCGTGTACAATTTGATGATCTGGATAGAGGGGGAAAATAGGCACAAAATTAATCCTCTTTGTCCTCCCAAAGAGTTGTCACTTTGTTTGATAATGCTTCTACGAAAAGCAAAGATCTAACAATGTTTTCCTTTTTTTTTTCTTTTTTTCTTTATTTCTTTTCTATCTCTCTATTTGCACCCCTTCCCCCCTTTTTTAAAATAAATTTTTAACAATATTTCTAAACTTACACATTTATATATTTTTCTTATTTTTATTTATATTACATATATAGTTGTTACATACATGTTATAATATAACATAGTTAATTGTTTAATTTGGAAATATTTTGTTGTATACTTATACACTACTTTTATCATTTAATCATGATCTTTATCATACAAAGTGTATTAATGATTTTTACTGTCCTCGTGATAGATGGAGAAAAAAACTTATATGTTGGCGATGTGGGCAAAAAATATCTGATTCTAGTAAATTTATAATTTGCTCGCAAACAACATGTAAAAAAAAGTATCATATGACGTGCGTGGAAGTTGATGAGGCGGAACCAAAATTCAGTTGTCCTTGGCATTATTGTTTAGAATGCGGTCGTCGTACATCTTCACACTGTTCTTTCTGCAGCACTGCTTTCTGTCAAGGTAGACTGAAAATAATATTAACGCATATTCCATAAAATCACTGAGTATCTCAAAATTTCGGCTGATTTAAAATCTATTCCTTAATAAAAATATCTCAAGATAATACCTATGTTTGGTGAACTTTTGCATTAAACATTAAGCAAATAAGAAAGAACATGAATAATATAATCATACCCTTTAGTCGATTTTCAGGAAACTTTATTGAAATTTTAATTTTAAAAGTTGTTACATAAATATAAAATATGAAAAATTGGAAAGATAAAATAAATAATGATTTCTCTTGATATTTTCATTAAAAAAAATAAACTCTTAATTCATCTAAAAAGATTTTATTAAAATATTATGTGTAATATAATTGCATATTTATAAAGATGTTTTATGAAGATTTGAAATATAACATGTTTATATGTGTCATCACTTTTGTTTTTAGTTCATCTGGATGGAAACTTATTCGAACGAGAAAACGACAAAAGTGGTGTCGTGTGTAAATCACACGAAAATGCGGATACACCAAAACCCACCGGAGACGAGAAAGAATATTCGGATAATGATAACGAGACAGATAAAGAGTATTCCTCCACGAGTTCCAGTAGTCCGATCGTAATGGAAAAAATTGCGACGCGAGAACCATCACCAAGGGTTTCTATCGTAGAGGTGAGATGAAACCTTACTCTCTATCTGTGTCATTAGTATAAATCACAGTGATGGTCGAACAATTGCAATTTTTATATACATATGAATACAACTTCACATAGAAACACCATATGCAATGCAATGCAATGCAATTTAGTATTTTGTATGCTTTTTGTATATGCATCTCTATTCGCATACATCTGAGTTGGCTGCATATTACTTTCGGTGATGATAGAGCATACGAGAGGAAAATTCCATTTTGAAGAAGTTATCTAAGATTATGTCTTGTAAAAGATTTAAAAAGGTTAAAAAGGATGTGTATATAAATAAAAGCGTTTGTAATTTATCAAGAGAGCCATACTCTTTACTTTATTGTGACAATTTACATTATTTTAAACTAAATTGAATATAGGAAAGTGTATATTTAAAGTGTGATTTGAGCCAAAACTTAATTGGTATGTAAAATGTACGTAATACATACACAAAAGTAAATAAGACATTCTTTGTATGACTATTTTTTAAATGTATTATCAAAATCTTTGAATATATGTCGCAGCTATTCTATATATACATACATTCATACATACGTTCATACATACGTTCATACATACGTTCATACATACGTTCATACATAAGTTCATAGATAAGTTCATACATACGTTCATACATACATACATACATACATACATACATACATACGTACGTACGTACGTACGTACGTACGTACGTACGTACGTACGTACGTACGTACGTATGTACGTATGTATGTACGTATGTACGTATGTATGTATGTATGTACGTATGTATGTATGTATGTATGTATGTATGTATGTATGTATGTATGTATGTATGTATGTATGTATGTATGTATGTATGTATGTATGTATGTATGTATGTATGTATGTATGTATGTATGTATGTACGTATGTACGTACGTACGTACGTATGTACGTACGTATGTACGTATGTATGTATGTACGTATGTACGTATGTACGTATGTACGTATGTACGTATGTATGTACATAAAGCAAGGATTATTGTTGTAATGTTTTAGTCTAAAAAATAATATTGTAATATTGAAAGGTAGGATATGTTTCGAAAAAAAGACAAACCGAAAATGGATTATTATTTTTTTTAAATTATTTTTCATTGTTCCTGATATCCCTACTCCTTCAAATTGGCAGTAGTACATCTAATGAAAACAAATATTTTATTTTATTTTTATAAATGATTATATATTTTCTTTATATAATGTAGTTAGATGTGTTATAGATAATAGAATTGAGTGATCCTCTGGATATATAATACTTAAAATTAATAAAAAAATAAGTTTATTTATTATTATTTTAGTAAATTTATTCTACATTACTATATTTCATTTATTTTTTAATGACATGGTGAGTAATAATAATATTCAATTTCTATGAGAAATATTTTCAAGACTGTACAAATTTTAATATGCTAATCTTATTTATCTCATTAATGCTTATTATTTAATTGCACGTAATTATTTTTTTAATAGGTAACCTTTTATAATTCTATTTATTTTTTTATTAATTTTTATATAAGGTATACGAGCATTCCTTTTTGTTTCCTAAACCAAAATTATAATAAATACAATCCAGAATCAATAATTTAAATGGTTATTTTTTATGAGTCAATATAAAACTTTAATTTTATTTATTTAATCCACCTTTTTTGAAAATAAAAGAGAGTATTTACTTGACTGGAATTCTCTATGCATGCAATATGCTTTTCTCTCTCTCTCTCTCTTTATATTCTTTATATCTTTTATACATTTTAAAAATATATATTGCTATTCAAATAATTTTTCAAGGTAGTTTTGCATTTTTTACAAAGATTTTCTTAAATCAACAATGTGCCTCACAGGTTCATCTTAGCAGTGAAGAGAGTGAAGGATCTCAAAAGGAAGAGGAAGAAAACAATCTAGAGATTAATTTTATGTCATGTGATAAAAGTTCAAGAGCTTCAGTGAAGAAAAACACACTTCATAAATCACAGAGAGAAGGAAATAAAACGAAGGACTTAAGTAATCTTACATCTAGTCAGTTAGAAGCCATAATTGGCGGTAGCTTGAATGAATGAATAAATGAATGAATGAATTTTTCTATCATTCAAGTTATCAAATATTTAATTATGCCTATAGTGAAGCTATATATGCTCATATAACTCTGACATATGAATATGATTAAATATAATTATATATAAAATATTAAGAATTACAAAAATTTGCAAAATATCTTTTGTTTAGCCATGTCGATATGTAACATACTTATTAATCTCGAAAGCAATTAGAAAAATTAATTTAGCACTTGTGCATAGTATTTGTAAATTATGAATATGTATTGTAAAATTTTATATGATGATTAGTGCCTTGATAAAAGAATAAGTAAATTGTGAAAAGAATAAGTAAAGTCTTTGAAATTGATCATATTTGTGTCATAAAGTTCTCTTTATGCACTATGTTACTTTCGGAATATTTATATTCAAATTTACATTCAAAGACTTAAACTTTTAATTATTAAATAGTTAGTTGTGAAAATAAATTAAAACTATGTAATAGTATATATTAAGGTAAGCAGGCCACATTATTATATATTGAATTGATTGTCTTCAGACTTGCAATAAAGATTTTCACTGCCTCGTATTTTGTAAAATGTTACTTTTTGCGAAATAATTAGTAACTATTAGTAAAATGTTATTTAAGAAAACATTAATTCTAAATTATTACAAATAAAATTTTTTTACTTTTATTCAATTTTTAACTTTTAATTCCGTAACAAAATATATTTAGTTAAGATATCTTTTAAAAAATAAGCTACGTATATTTTTTAGTTGTTTTTAGATATCGAAGACGCAGTTAATGAATACAAGAAGTATATAATTATATCATCATCACATGAAGATTTATCGTTATTTAAGAAATTATTTATACACACATATTGAATACATATTTATTACAAAAACTTTGTAAAAACTTTGAAAGTTTTGAAAAGACCAAAAAAGTATACGTTAACTATGTACATTATTAATTTCGATTGATATTGGATTACAAATTTATTACATCTTGTGAGACTTAGATTATTGTTTACATATAAAGGATTCATAACAAAAACAATCCTTGTCGATTTTTTCAGGAGAAGAAAAAACATTCTGTCATCCTTAAGTTTTCAGTAGAACCATCCAAACTTTCTAACAATATAAATCAAGGCATAAGTTATTTTTATGAGAATTGGTAGCAACCACACTGTAGGTTCCACTTGTGACTACTAGAATACGTTTTTCTCAATTTCCTCAATTTTTGACAAAAGTTGTTTTTGTTATGAACCCTTCATATTTTATAGATAGATGCGAGTTTAATTATTAAACCTAAAAATTATTTCTTTCGAATATTTGAAGTAAGTTTTATGCAATAAGTATTCTTTTATTTCAAAAATCAAATCAACAAGATGTTTGCTCTTTAAATCATATTATTTATATTCAATAAAGTTGTTATATAATAAAAAAATTATTTTCAGATTGCTATTTTTACAACTTAGAGTTGACCTGTAAATCATAGTAGATAAGCCAAAGATATACAAAATTAATTTATAGTTATTTAAACTCGAAATGACGGAAAATAATTAAAAATTTTGAATGATAAACGATTTTGACAATTACTAGCACACAATGTGCTTTTTCATGCTACACCGCAAGACGCCTTGCTGCTGCCGTGCTGGCAAAACTTAGCTATCTTATCGGAAATGTTGCGTGATGCGAACTTCTAGCATGCTTGATTTCGATAATAGATCCAATACTATTTTCGCTACAAGAGTTGTTGCAAAATACATCTGCTAAAAATCAAAGAAAATACAATATATAAACCAACATATACATAGTAAATATAAAGAAAAGAAGCTTTCTAAGAGTTAGAAATTAAAAATATTATTAATTGTTAATATTATTGTTATAATTAAATAGTATTAAAAAATATTAAAATAAATAATATTGGTTAATATAAAAATATTAATAATAATTTATTTATATTATTAGAATAATATCTTACTCAATATTACTATTATTAAAAATATTACTACTTTATTTCTATTTATTTAAGACAATAAATAACACACTTTTAGACGTATTTTGTAAATGAGGGACGTAGACGCTGCAAAAAAGCAAAGATTGGTCGCGATTGTACTTTTATTAATTTTAGAAAGAGAAAAGCGATGCAAAAATAAATATGGTTACTCAGGCCATGCGTATAATAGAGAAAATATTAGAAATTAGAAATTACGAATAGAAATTATTTTACTTCAAACAAGGGAACAAAATATATTAATTATTCCTACTTCTTAATTTTTTATTTATGATAATATATACGTTAATACATTCCATTTTTTTATTCTGAAATAAAATAATTCCAATTTTTTAGGCCGAATTTCTACTGAGCGCGTCACGCGCGGCGTTATTTGTCGCGTCACGAATTAACCAATCAAAACATCCCATTTTATTCG